ACCTTAACATAACAGAACACCCAAAAAATGAAAAAGTAATTTATTTTGAAGGGCTGGATAAATTATATCGCCTTCAAAACATTAGAGAGAATTTTTGTGTCAAATGCATTGAAATGAAAGACGAGTATATTGAGAAATAAATATGAATTAATAAAATAACAAAAAATAAATTGTTACATCTTTCTAAATATTTATTGATTAGCAATCGCACTATTCTCTATAAAAGTTATAACCTAAACCTAACCTAAAATTATAGGTTAGGTTTAACAGTTATTTAAAAGTAAACGATAAGATCTTTACATGTTATATCATGTAAAGTTTTGTATGTTATTAATATAAACACTATTATAGTTCTTATCAATCCAGAGTGAAAAATCTATAAAAACCGATCATGAATGGTTCCGTGACTTTATTTCACTTTTACTCGATTGCTGTAAAACGTTTAATATGATTACTCTAAAAACATGTTATTTGTTAATAACAATTTGTAAGTTTTAATTATTAAGAAATTAAAAAAAAACCTACTAAGTATTTATTTAATTAAATAGCTTCCTTAGGTTTTGCTGATGTCTTGAAATATTATTTATACACCAGGGATACTGTAGATCATCCAGAGGAATTATTTCTCAATGATGAAAACTCAGTCAGACGTTCAAAGTTCGATTCGAACTTACAAACCAAGTAAGTACAGTTTTAACATTTCACACACATAAATTTGTATAAAAAATATATTTTTAATTTAGAATAGTAATACATGGATGGTTTAATAATTATAAAGACGAACCAAATCCTAACGTTCGAAATGCGTATTTTCCTAAAGGAAAGTATAATATAATAGCGGTTGACTGGGGACGTTATGCCAAAAATGCTTACCCTGTATCATACCCTCACGTACCGGCACTAAGTCAAATTTTAGCGGATTTCTTAGAGTTTCTTCATAAAAAATTTCGCTTGGATTATAATAAAACAGTGTTAATTGGACATAGTGTGGGCGCACATATCGCAGGCTTGTGTGGTAAATTAATTAAGAGTGATAAACTAGCAGCAATAGTGGGATTAGATCCGGCAAATTTATTTTTTGAAAATCAACCACCGACAAAACGTTTGGCAGCTACTGATGCACGTTATGTACTAACAGTACACACGGGTACCGACACATATGGTTTTTTAAATCCAATTGGAAAAGCATCATTTTATCCAAATTGGGGCTCAAAGCAGCCAGGATGTGGTGTAGAAGCTATGGGGTTCTGTTCACATTCACGAAGTGTTAAATTCTATGAAAGAGCCGTTAAAGGAAATTTATTAGTACCAATATACAGGTGCGAGAGTTTCAATGAAATTAAGAAGAGAAAAGGATGCAAAACACGTACAAATATAACTCTGGGAGGTCCTTTAGAAACTGAACAAACACAGGGTATATTTTATTTCAAAACAAATGAAACAACTCGATATTTAAATTAAAAAATTAATAATAACAATTTGTGAAATTTAATTTTGAGTTTTGATTTTTCAATGGTCTTAGATTTATTTGGTACTACTTACATTAAGACCGAAAAGTTTTCGGAAATTCTCATTTAAAATTCGCGCGCTGTATATTTTTCGATATTTTAAGTTTATGTAGTTTGGCAGTTGTAACGACACTTTTGGTGACGTTCAAAAATTTTTAGTTTTTGCTGGGGTATCCTCAGCCGTCGTCCAGAGTCGTGACAATATATTTATAATTTTGCCGAGACGTTGGTTTTAGAAGAAAACAGAACGTGATTTATATGTATAAATTATATATATAACTTTATTTATTTCATAAAACTTATGATTAACAAAGTTTAATTAAAATTCATTGGAAACATTTCTAATAATAAATAAAAAAAATTATGTTGATGCCAAAATTTCCCACTTCTCCATATACTCCTTGTTAAAAGAATCTTAGCAAAACCCGTGTGACTTCTTAAGCCCCTCTTCTGTTGTAAAAAAAATAAACAAAACGTTTCCTCCGTGCTGTAAAAACTATTTGACCGAATAAGCCAGGTTAAAAAATATACATATAAGACAGGAAAGGAATTTTACACTACGTTTGATTCAAAGAACCAGATTTGTGGCACAATGTGCCAGATGACCAATAGGCCAGTGTACTTGTTTCAGGAAAAGTAAAATTTCAAGTTTGGTAAAATTTACCAGAAGGCCCAATGAGCCAGAGTACTTGCTCTTTCACTTGTCGCAAACCAAGTCCCTGATTATATAAAATGTACCTCCTTTTATATCGAGCATACCGGAGCTTTTTGGTGTAGCGTACCGGTATTCTTTGCTGTACTTGACTTCGCCGTGAAGTTGAACTTTGTGTTCTACTGTTTTCTCACTTCTTCTGCTTCGCCGTGATTTTTTAGTACTTTTACTACGCGCCGTGTTTCTTTATTTCGTGTGTTATTCCTTTTTAGTTTATATTATATTAAATATTATTACATTAAAAGTAAAGTGTTTTAATACTACAAAACAAGGTATTAAATATACATATATATTCTGTGAATTTAATATTATCTAAATGTGAACAGAAAAGAAATATTAAAAGAAATAAAATTGATGTTGGCGTGCTTAGTTTTGTTTTGTTGTGTTTTGTTTATAAAAATAAAATTGGACAACCAAAAAATGTTAAACTGTTTTGTGTATTATTTTAATTATATATATTTCAAATAGATCTTTGTTCAATAATTAAACGTGTTTTCTGTGATAAGAGTTACATTGTTTTGTGTTTTGTTTTATTTCTATATAATTGTAGAAAAATAGACATTTGTTTAAAATTTACACATGTTTCGCCGATAATTGTTCATTGTTGTTGCGTTTATAAGTGTTCCATTCATAAAAGTTTTAACCAAACGTTGATTTTGTTTTCGTATATTTTTAGAATTTGCACATTTCATGTAGCGATGCCCGCGGCACATTGGCATCGAGGATCCCAGGTAATGTCCATGATATTTCAAATAAATATTTTAATTCAATTTTATATTTTCCAGTTAAGTCGCCTTCAGTGATTTTCATGTGAGTTGTTAGATATATTATGTGTAGTGGTGGCGGTTATTTAACACACAGACTGTGTTTTTCTCTGCTTCTTGTTTTATGTAGCACAGAAATTTACTTTGTAAATTTGTGTCGTTACATTTCCCTCCTTCTTCAGAACAGAAATTAAACTAAAACTTTATTTTAATGATACGTTGATGACCCCTCGTCGGCAAATTTGCACTTGATACTTCTGATTTTCCATTTATCCCTTATTTTCCATATGATACATGCTAATACTTGTGTTACTAATATTCCTTTTAGAACGAGGCTCGATTTCTCTTTCTAATCTTTGGACACTTGAAAATTTTGTAATACTCATCTTGGTTGCTGACATGATGATGGTCATCCTTTCGTTTAAATGTACCTAGACGTTGTACGAAAATCTTTGGTTTGTTTCCTTTTGTGCTTGGTTGACTGACGTTCAATTCCTCTTGTGGTGACCATGTTTCTTGTTGACTGTCATGCTTGACTTTATCCTTTGCTTGAATTCCTTGGCTTGGTAGTTCCGTGTTAAGTTTACTATCTGAAACATTGATATCTAATGGATCTAATGACTTCGTAGGTTGTACTTGACGATTGTCCGCTATTGGCGATACTGTAGTAGAATTCCTTTGTGGCGATGTGGTTGATGACGAAGATGATGGTGGACCGGACTGGTGATTATCTCTTGGTGGTGCTTCTCGTGGTGACTGTGGCTGATTAACCGAAGATGGCGGCTGCGGCTCAAGTTCTTTTGGTTGTACCGATGATTTGAAATTACCTTGCGAATGACTCTGTGACGTTTGCGATGATGATTTAAGATTACCTTGTGAATGCTCCTGTGGCGTTTGCGATGATGATTTAAAATTACCTTGTGAATGCCCCTGTGGCGTTTGCGATGGTGATTTAAAATTACCTTGTGAATGCCCCTGTGGCGTTTGCGATGATGATTCTGAACTTGTAGAAGTTGGTAGTACTGGATGATTGACATGTGATGACTCCGGTACTATCATTAAACGTTGTGGCAGTGCTGGACGTGATGATAAGTCATGCTCTTCGGTTTGATACTTTTGCTCTCGTGGTTGCGTATTCTGATTGTAGTTAACTAGCGACTGTTGTGCATATGCTTGTTGATAACCTACTTCTGGACTTTCCCTATGAGACGTTGAACTCTGTGGAGGAGTTACGATGCATTTATGAACTGCCTCCTTGTGTGGTTTTTCCTGTAATGGTACTAAGTGTGATTGTGAATTACTTTGGTGTGGCATATTTAGCGTTGGTAGTATATTTGTTATTGGCCTACTAATTGCTGTTGCTTGTTTTGCGTCTGGTGGAATCGGTTGCTGGTTACTCCTCAGTTGGATATGATGATTCGATTTAATGCCTTGATTTTGGACTATACTTTCTTGCATCAGTTTTGGTTGACTGGATTCTAATTTGACGGATAAAATGTTTGGGTGGTTGTCATTCCGCCTGGCGTGACAACCCCCAAAGCGTTTCCCGATGGCCTCTGATGATTTCTGTATGTTGGATTTTCCCTGCAGCACTCGATCGTTCGACGGCCTATAGTACCACAACTCCAGCAAAAAAGTCTCCTAGGCTTTGTGCATTCTCGTGCAAAATGATTTCTTTCCCCACATCTACGACAAGCATTACGCACGTCCACCTTTTCGCTCTGTGTTCTATTAATGGCAATCGGTGGTGACCAATCCAGAGTGCATTGGCGTTCTCTACTACTTAGTTGTGTAAGACGTTCGAATTCTTCTGCTAGTTTGCTTAATTCTCCCAAGGAGCTAAATTCACGCGGTTTGATCTGGAGCTGATACTCTGGTCTACTATTCCGGTAAATCCGACTTAACTGTTGTCTTTCTGTTAACTCAGCATATCGCATCAACTCTTGTAGTGCTAGGGCATAGTCTTGGAATGACTCCGTCTTCTTCTGGTATTTGTTCCGAATTGTGTCTTCTAATTGCTCTAAATAATTAGAAGGCAAGAAAAACTCTCGAACATCCTGAACAAAACTTGACCAGTGTGTCCACTTCCGATTGTTATTCCGGAACCACATTAGGGCTTTTCCTTTCAGTATTTCTGGCATAAGTCTTGGCAGAATGTCTCGGGGAATGTTATAAGTTTCGGAGAGTGTTTCCAAATTTTCCAAAAATGGTAATGGACTTGTTTCACCATTAAAATGTACCTCCCAATTACGCACTTGATTGGCGATTCGCGCTATGTCTTCAAATTTGCTAGTCATCATGGTTGGCTCTGAAATGTGTATTTTTGGCGTGTCGATTTCGATGCCTGGAGGTTTGGGTGAGAGACTGCGATCATATTTAGTTTCCATGTCCATAATTATATCTAGTAATTTTTCCGTGTACTCCTCAGTTGCTAGATGATCACGTACACGTTTCCGTAGTTCCTCAACGGTTCCTGATGTACTGATCTTAATTTCTTCTAGAATTTGAACCAAATCCTCTTTACGCGCTATCGAAATCCATGCTGTTTTGACCATGTTACCTCGTGTACCGTCTAATGACTCTTTGCGTTAAACGTTTGTACACTTACTCGTCCTGTTCCTAGTTCGTTCTTTTCTAAAACACGGTCCCCTGTTCAACGTTCGTTCTTTTCTAAACAACGTCCCTGTTCAACGTTCGTTCTTTTCTAAAACCTGGTCCCTGTTCAACGTTCGTTCTTTTCTAAAACCAGGTCCCTGCTCGGGCGCCAATTGTAACGACACTTTTGGTGACGTTCAAAAATTTTTAGTTTTTGCTGGGGTATCCTCAGCCGTCGTCCAGAGTCGTGACAATATATTTATAATTTTGCCGAGACGTTGGTTTTAGAAGAAAACAGAACGTGATTTATATGTATAAATTATGTATATAACTTTATTATTTCATAAACTTATGATTAACAAAGTTTAATTAAAATTCATTGGAAACATTTCTAATAATAAATAAAAAAAATTATGTTGATGCCAAAATTTCCCACTTCTCCATATACTCCTTGTTAAAAGAATCTTAGCAAAACCCGTGTGACTTCTTAAGCCCCTCTTCTGTTGTTAAAAAAATAAACAAAACGTTTCCTCCGTGCTGTAAAAAACTATTTGACCGAATAAGCCAGGTTAAAAAATATACATATAAGACAGGAAAGGAATTTTACACTACGTTTGATTCAAAGAACCAGATTTGTGGCACAATGTGCCAGATGACCAATAGGCCAGTGTACTTGTTTCAGGAAAAGTAAAATTTCAAGTTTGGTAAAATTTACCAGAAGGCCCAATGAGCCAGAGTACTTGCTCTTTCACTTGTCGCAAACCAAGTCCCTGATTATATAAAATGTACCTCCTTTTATATCGAGCATACCGGAGCTTTTTGGTGTAGCGTACCGGTATTCTTTGCTGTACTTGACTTCGCCGTGAAGTTGAACTTTGTGTTCTACTGTTTTCTCACTTCTTCTGCTTCGCCGTGATTTTTAGTACTTTTACTACGCGCCGTGTTTCTTTATTTCGTGTGTTATTCCTTTTTAGTTTATATTATATTAAATATTATTACATTAAAAGTAAAGTGTTTTAATACTACAAAACAAGGTATTAAATATACATATATATTCTGTGAATTTAATATTATCTAAATGTGAACAGAAAAGAAATATTAAAAGAAATAAAATTGATGTTGGCGTGCTTAGTTTTGTTTTGTTGTGTTTTGTTTATAAAAATAAAATTGTACAAACATGAGTGTTAAATTGTTTTGTGTATTATTTTATTTATATATATTTCAAATAGATCTTTGTTCAATAATTAAACGTGTTTTCTGTGATAAGTGTTACATTGTTTTGTGTTTTGTTTTATTTCTATATAATTGTAGAAAATAGACATTTGTTTAAAATTTACACATGTTTCGCCGATAATTGTTCATTGTTGTTGCGTTTATAAGTGTTCCATTCATAAAAGTTTTAACCAAACGTTGATTTTGTTTTTCGTATATTTTTAGAATTTGCACATTTCATGTAGCGATGCCCGCGGCACATTGGCATCGAGGATCCCAGGTAATGTCCATGATATTTCAAATAAATATTTTAATTCAATTTTATATTTTCCAGTTAAGTCGCCTTCAGTGATTTTCATGTGAGTTGTTAGATATATTATGTGTAGTGGTGGCGGTTATTTAACACACAGACTGTGTTTTTCTCTGCTTCTTGTTTTATGTAGCACAGAAATTTACTTTGTAAATTTGTGTCGTTACAT